TTACTCAACTGAGCTATCTCCCCAGCCCCAGAAGGGTATTTTTTAATATACATGTTAATATAGTTTTTGTGATTGCCTTTGTTGTTGATTTCTACTTTTATTGCATTATGATCAGATAGTATAAATGGGATAATTTCAATTCCTCTACATTTACCTAAACATATCTTGTCAGCTAATATATGAGCTATTTTGAAGAGCTTCCCATGGGCAACTGAGAATAATATGTTCTGATGTTTTTGGGTGGAACATTCTGTAGATATCTACCAAGTCCATTTGTTCACAGGCTTGGTTTAATTCTAATATTTCTTTGTTGATTTTTTTTTTGTCTAGTTGATCTTTCGGTGAGAATGAGGTATTAGGGTCCCCCACTACCATTGTGTCAATGCTTTTTTTTGATATAGGGTCATCCTATACAGTTTGGACCTGTAGGAATCTTTCTGTCTCATCCTCCCTATTGCTGGGGTTACAGTGTGCACTATAGCACCTGGTTCTGGGGCCAGTATGGCAGGCAGTACTATTGTAGTCCAGATCAAACTCTGGACCTTGAGCTTGCCAGGCAGGCCCTTATGCTGCCAAGCTATCTCTCCAGTCCTTATTTTGTTTTTCATGTCTTTTATAATTTGTTTTATGTAACTGGGTGAACCTGTGTTTGGTGCATAAATATTTACAATTGTTACCTCTTTTTCTTAGAGTTTTCTCTTAAAAATTATGTAGCGACCTTATCTGTCCCTCTTGATTAGTTCTGGCTTAAAGTTTGTATTGTCTACAAATAGAATAGCCACTTCTGCTTTTTTCTGGGTTCCTGTGGCATGGAGAATTGTTTTCCATCCTTTGATTTTTAGTCTATGAATTTTTTTGGGGGGTTAAATATGTTTCCTCGGGCTGGTGAGATGGCTCAGTGGTCTAAAGCACCTACTTAGAACAAACAAGCTTAGCAAAGTACAGGGACCACGGTTCAATCCTCCAGCACCACATGCCAGCCAGCCCCGCCCCCTGGTGGGCTGAGCTGGCCACACACACACACATACACATAAATAAATAAATAAAAAATTTAAAAAAATAAATATGTTTCCTGAATGCAGCATATTGTTGGATCTTGTTTCTTGATCCATATGCCAGTCTTGTTTTTTTTTTTAATTGGTGAGTTGAAGTCATTTTCAGTGGTGGGAGGAATTTTCCTGTCACTGATGTCACCTGATACAGCTAGACAGTGGTTTCTATAGCAAGGGAGGCAGGGAGGAAGAACCCATTCTGTCACTTTTATAGTACGGCCTCTGTGATGGGAAAGACAAAAGTAAACATATTCTGTGGAACCTCTAAAGGCATTGTAGGTGACACTATTGTAGGCTGGCCCTTAGACAAGTCAGCCAAAAGCTCAGTCCCAGTGCCATGGCCAATGAAGACAGTAAGCCTAGTCATGGATTCTGTAATGACTTCATTTGTTTATCTTGATAAAAATGTAAAATTAGGGAAAAAAAATCTCAGCTTGAGGTATATCTAAACCCCTGCCCTTTGAAAGTGTTAGTGATTCACTGCCACACTAGCCAGAAGCAATTTCCCGTAATCCACCACCCACAATCCCTAAAGTTCCCCGGTATACTGCGAGTGGCTAACTGCCTGCATGTCTTCCTCGCTGATAAGTGGATGTGCTTCTCTGGCCAGCACACAGAAGGCACTATGATTTGCTGAGCAGGAAACAAACGAAACCACCCCGGAACTTGCTGTGGCTGACTCTGCCTAGGGGACTCAGACTCTGCCTGGATAAAGGAAGATCCCTATCTGTCTTCTCTCTCATCTTCACCTGCCCACAGTGATGCAGACCTCTTAGAGCCTCCAATGATACAAACACCCTGCTGCAGAATGCATGCCATAGGCTTGTCACCACTGCCCTCGGCCTCACTACTTTGGCATCCATCCCCCATCCGCCTGTCCTCGGCCTCACTACTCTGGCATCCATCCCCCATCCGCCTGTCCAGACACCTTTTTCCATAACTTCTCCCTCCTGCTCCATACCAAACTACATAGCACATCCCCTTCCTGCCGCACTTCCTCCCCACAGTCTTCCCTCTAATCAGTTCTTTTTTTGTAATATTTGTGGTTAATCATGAGACAGAATAACCACATGAGTAGAATAATGTTTTAAAAAACATTGTCTCTTTTTCTTCTTTTACGTGCCTTATATCTATGGAGCTGTAAGCGTTCATGGGACAGAGACTTCCTTCCCATTTGTCTGGCATCTGCCAGGGCTCCTTTGGTGACGGCCTGCAGGCCAGCCATCAATAATTCCTTCTATTGGGAGATGAGATCTATCCCCGAGGGTACCCAACCTATGGTGATCTGTCGTGGTCGACAGCAGGAGGTGGCCATAACACTATGCTAGTTCTGGGACCAAGCCTTAAGGTGTAACTCAGGCTAGACCAATGAATAAGAGGGCAAGTGGAGACATGGACCATCTGGAGGAGGACAGAGGTCTGAGGTCCCAGACACAGGAATGAGGCTATTTTGAATCTTCTAGCTCTAGTCAATGTCATGTGGAACAGACACATGCTGTCCTCCCTGAGATCTGTGAGAATTCCTCACCTGTACAACAGTGGTTACTGCTTTAAGCCACTAAGTCCTACAAAGATGATTCAGTTATGTCTCCTTGGCAGACTGGGGATTTCTAGAATCTTTATTCCTACTAGAGAGCTATAGACTCACACCTTCCATGAGAGTAAACTGTGATGCTGATTTCTTACAGCACATGGCCACTGGAGCTGCAGGCCACAAAGCATGGCTACTCACCAGGTTCTCATTGGTCAGCCGAGATATTTCCTGCTGGACACCGAATTCCACCTGGGCCTCTGGAGAAAGCAGCAGTGTCTGGCAGAAGGTCTGTTGCTGCTTGTCCATCTCTTCTTTTAGAGCCTCCAGCTGGGCCTTGAGACTTTCCACCTCCTCTTCATGTTCTTGGCTCTGGGCCTGCAGCTGGGCTTCTAGCAGCCTGTAGCCAGAAGAGGAGGACAGGTGACCATGTGGATTGGGGTGGCTCCCTCAGCTGAGGACCACAGACAGAAACACACTAGGGGGGCAGACAAGCAGACAGCAGCAAGTGGGTATCGCCAGTAGGGGATGCTTGTAGCGAGGAGACAGATGCTGCGGAGGCCATCAGGCGAGCAGGCCAACCTGTCCTCCTCAGAGGACAGGAAGCCAAGGCCAGAGGCATCCCTGGGCTTAGGTCTTTTTCTTGACTTCTTCTTCTGTGAGCCTAATCTCTTGGTTTGGGACTAAGAAACTATCTCCAAGTCAAAATATCATCAGGACAAATGAATTTCTTATAGTGTCTTATTTTATTATTATTTTTTTAGTATTGGGGATCAATACCAGGTAGGCACTTACCCACAGAACTATATGCCTGGCTCTATAGTATTTTTTAATTTTAAGCATTCATTTGGACGGCTCCACAGTTCACAAACACCATTAAGACAAAAGTCCAGTAAGCTGAACTAATTATTTCCCTTATAGGAGATTCCCCACAAATTTCAGGGTGTTTAAATGTTGCCTGTTTATCTTCACCATTACTGTCTCTACTTTGGCCCACATATATAATTTTTATAACAATTCTCCAACCCAAAATAACCTGTAGCTGGGTGTGGTGGATACACCTGTAATTCTAGCACTCAGGGATGCTGAGACAGGCGGCTTGGAAGTTTGAGCTCGGCCTGCGCAACTTAACAAGACCCTGTCTCAGGAAGAAAAAAAGAGGTCTGGCGATGTAGCTCATTGCGAAGCACTGTGAGGCTGTAAGTTTAATCATCAATATTGAAAAACAAAGATCAACTTATATCATAGGTTGGGGTGAAGGCTTAGAGACTGAATCTAAAAAGCCAAAGGCCAGAGCTCCCACACTTTGGGGAGACTCAGAGGAAAGCTCAGCAGGAGCTGAGCTCTTGGGAACTGAACAGATATGGCGAGAGTACCGTTTTTACCCGGCTTTCAGATTAGTCAGCCAACTTCATATAAAAGAAAGGTAGGGGTCACTGGAGGAAAGGGACTGTGAAAAGCTTCCTCAATATAGTTTGCATGGGACAATGTGTCCCAGTTGTTTCCTGAGATAGGTAGAGGCTCCAGAGCTAGGCCTGGAGTTAAGCTGTGGGCGGGGCCCAGGGCTCACTGTTGGTGCTGCTGGCTACTCTGCAGAAGAATGAGTTCAATGCTGCTCCAGGGCCTTCTCAAAGTGACACAGTGAATGAGGACATGATGGGCACAGGTCTATTACCAATGGAAACAACAACTTAAGGAGTTGGGGGACAATTTCATAATTGGGCATTTTAGATGACATAATATTTAGCAGATATCAAATTGGCTGCAATATGCTAGAAGTAATCACCCATGTGTTGTAAATTTAACAAGAGGGCAGGAACACCCAGATTCTAGGCATGCTGCCCAGGGACAGACTTTATGACCTGTGCTGAGTGTTCCCTGTTCATGACCGCATTGCTGTCTATGTGGGCTGTGGATCAGCACAGGGCTTGGTGCAAAGCCTTGATGCAAGCCCTGGCCAACCTCAGGCTATCCTCCTCAGTGTGCAGGGGGGAAAGATAAGGCTGAGGGAGGCCCCAGGCCACAGCCAGGGCAAGGGGTTTTTATAAGTCAGGTCGGAAGCACAGTTGTTCTATATGCTATTTCATTAATGCACTCATCTACTTACTCCATATTACACCTGAGGTGCTGACAGAGTGACATGAGGAATGACCTGACTTGGCACATGGGTCCAATAAAATAAATTTCTGAGTGGGCATTAATGTGGTCTTTCTGAATAATAATAATCATCACTGTAGTAACATAAGTATCAGCTGTCTCATGTCTACTCTGCTTGCCACACTGGTGTGTGCAAAGAGCTTTAACCTTTATTTAGCACTTTCCTTAGAATGACTGCTGCAAGTCCCATTCTGATTCACTGTCTTCCTGTAATCCCAGTATCACCTCCATCACAGGATACGAGGCCACAAATGAACCCAGGAAAAGGCTGCAGGGCCAGGAGAGACGACGCTTCTCTTGTTGCTGGGACAGAATCTCTCCCACACTGGCAGGAGGAAGAGCTCCAACTCTTCTCTGAGACGTGAGCTCAAGGGAGGGGTGTGAGCTCCTGTTCTGCTGTCACCACCTTGCTGAGGGAGCTCCTGATGGCACTCATGTCACCTTCCTGAGCTTCTCTTTCCTTTTCTGGGAAACAAACCTAAATAGCATCACCGCATCTCTTGTTGGGCAGCTCAGAAAAGCTATGGCACAGCCCCTAGAAGTCACACACCAGCAACCAACACGGAGAGTGTCATGCTGAGTTCTTTCAACCATGCTGAAGGCTGATAAGTAACAGGTTAGACGCTGGTTGGTATCAAATGCTAGATCTTCCACTTAACCCGCAAGTCCCTGAAGCCCTTCAAGCATAGTGCCCTTGCCCATCAGGGTGTGGGAGGGTCAGACACTGCAGTGAATGCACAGCACTTGGCTGTGTCAGCTCCAGAGACCCTTGATGCAAGGACCGGCCTGCGTGCTGATGGCAGGTTCCAAAGAACCCTGAATTTGGCACACAGGTGAGAGCCAACTTGGGACCATGGTTTTGGCTGATGTTGTAGAACAAGGAGGCAGCACAGACCTGGGAGCCCCTTGAGATAAATCTCAGTATTGCTCTTAATAGCTGTGTGCTTCCTATTACAGAAGCTCCTCCTCTTCTCTATTTCTTCCTTGAGAGAAGCAGGGAGTTGGATCTTGTGGTTTCTCAGGTTCCACTGGGCTACCCAGTGCTATCAGCTATCCAGACAGGCAGCCTCCCCTAAGCTATCCCACACAGCCTAGACACAAGCTGACAGGCAACGCCGGGGACTACCAGCCAGCAGCCCATGGCAGCTGTGCCCTGCGCCCCCGCACCCATCCAGCCAAAACATGAGGAGCAACGTGAGCAGCACACAGGGAAGCACACACAGGGAGACGGGAGTGCATTTGACCTGGCCACTTCTTTTAGGCCTTGGTAGGCCAAGCCGAGTTCTCCATCTTCATTCAAATATCCCCAATCCTCAGTCTGGCTAGAAATAAAGGATAGAAAAACAGGGTATCCAGTGCAGAGGAGAGAGACAGGCAGGTGGAGAGCCCAGACAAGGAGATTCTAGCAAAGGTCTGGAAACCAGAAAAAGGCAGGAGGAGCTTTCCTTCACCCATTTTCCTCTCCAGCACCCACACTTTGGTAGGTGCAGACAGCCCCTCTTAAAGTTTCCTGTCTGGCAAGCAGGTTCACGTGGCCTCACCTGAGGTCCACCAGCCATCGCAGGTGGGGACACATGTTGCCAAGGAGAGCGCACAGGGCTGCACCCCCTCTCGTCACTGTGGAGAGGAGGACACAGCAGAACTTGCACACGTCACACCCAGCATGCGGCCTTCTGAAGAGGAAAGGCGGCAAACAGGGCTGGGAAGAGAGAAGCCAGCGAGTGTGCAGAGACCACATGGTGAGCAGGCACTCACTGCAGGGAGGACACTGCATTGCTACAAAGCAACAGGCGAAGCCCCTGTGGTCACTGGCCTCAGCCTGGATCTGAGTGCATATTTCCCCTACTTTCCAGTGTACGTCTTTCTGTCATGTCTTAGGGCACAAAGACATTAAGTAACCTTAACCCTAGCTCTCCTTATAGTTTTGGGTAAAGAAATAGCTCAAACCCATTCACAGGATGAAAACTGAATAAAGTCCTCCTGACTTTGGCAGTCGGTGCATTCTTCAGTTCACTCACTTGGGGAAGCAGGTCACCAGAGACCTTGTACCTGCACACTGGAGCTGTTTCCAGGCCGTGCAGCTTTGGCAGGGATGTCTCACCACTTCACACAGGCCTGGGAACAATCCTTAGAGGCCAGCAGCAGGACTGGGTGAGAGAGGACAGGGCAGGTACTGGCTGTCTGCATTAGGATTCTGCCCTACTGTCAACAAGGTTGTCTACGACATCCCTCTTACCCGGGACATCGCTAAGTAAATGCCTAGAGCTCTCCCACATATCACCTTTGGAAAAAGTCCATCCTTTCTGCTTATGGTTAGGACTTAGCCGCTCCATTTCACTCCCAGCCCCCTCCCCACCTGAAAGAGACCTAAGGCTGTGTTAAGAGGGAGCGCCTTCCCCCTCCCAAGTTACCCTCTGCTGCTAATGCTGGCATTTAGCAAGGGCCTTGTTTGAGTAGCACTTCATCCCAAAGGAGGGCTCTGAAGGGCATGCCACAGGGCAGAATGGGACAATGCAAGAGATCCTCTGACCTCAGCCCTTTCCCTTCCGTGGTGAAGTGATGTTGGCATGTGGCAAGGGTCCCAAGTGGCTCCTGACCTTGCTCTGACGCTCCCCCCACCTCATGCTGCCAGCAGGCCCTTCAGAGCCTCCAAGGGGCTGCTGGGCCTCCCAGGGTCACCTCATTTCTCTAGTTCCCATCATCACAGCCACACTCCAGGGCAGTACATGTATGAAGCTGAGATATGCCTTGAGGAGGTTAGTAGTGCTCCCTTCATACCAGCTTTCAAAGAGCTCAGATTTCTGAACTCTAGAATGTGCCAGGTATTGCGGACAGAGATGGAAGAGAGAACCATACAGCCCAGGGACCCCACAGCATTCAGGAATCAGGCACACAAGGAAACAACCAGCAAACCAACTCGGCAGAGGCCTTTGCTGCCAGATGAAAGGAAATCCAATTCCCAGAGGTGGTTCTCCCTACGCTATACCCAGGCTTCTGGGGAGGGCAGCCAGAGAAGATGTACTAACCACTGGTAGAAGGAAAACCCCACACAGGTCACAGCATTTTAAAAAAATTCTTGATGCCAACTGTACCTGAGGCAACAGGCCTGGTCACACAAGATGGACAGTTGTGGACAGGTATGGTTGTGCACTGAGTTACAGCAGACTGTAGCTGTCCTACTGATTCAGGTCCAAGGCAGAGAGAGAAGCATTGAGTAACAAAAGCTCAGTTTCTGGTCAGGCTTAGTTAAAGGGATGGCTCTTAAGGAGGGAGTGCACATAATCAGGCTCTTAAGGAGGGAGCGCACACAATCAGGCTCTTGCTCGCCTCTGCAGCTCTGAGCAAGATAGCCTGCAGCAGACCGGCTCAAGGCTAGATGAGCCAGTCAGTCCACTGCAAGCACATCTCAAGGATGCTACACACACCTTTGCCATGGCAAACATGATCCACACTGCCCTAGAAAGAGTAGACTCATAGAGGTGATGCGTGTGTGTGTGCGCGCTCACATGCTAACTTCAGGTATCCCTACCCCAGCTAAGCTATTCTTGGTGCCAAGGGCCTCCTGTTGTTTCCTGAGATTGTCAGTGAAAAGGGGCTGCAAGGAGGGCTTCTGGGGCCCGAGGAAGGGTCCTGACAGTGCCATCAGACTCAGCACGGAGTTTTACTTCCTTGCTAGGGCTAGGAGGGAAGTGGCCAGGGATCAAAGCAGATCTATCTTGGAGCCAGGCCTGACTCCCACCACTTTTCTGCCTGACCTACCTCTGTGACGTTGAGCACAGAGCAACAGCAACTGCTCTCCCAACCTGGACAGCCCAGAGAAGATGACAGACTTCCGACCCCTAGCGAGGCTTTCTCAGCCGCTCTTTCCCTTAGCTGTCTTGCATATAAAATAGTCGCATGGATACTGGTTTCTCTTAGTTTCCAAGCTAGAAGCATGAGAAAGAGAGTGGAAGGAAGTAGCAGAGCCATCTATGTCCCCGGGGCTCCTGCACAGCAGCCTCGCTGTTGCTGCTCACCCCAACCCAAGGGAAAGACCCAGTTGTAAAGATCAGAACAGAACTTTACAGACTACAAGAACCACCAAGAGAAGCCTGAGAACTGTGGATGTTGAACAGGACTGTGACAGAGATAGAGGTATATATTCCTGGAATCACTCCCAAGCATGAGTAAAAGGCAGTGTCTGAATGTAACATTTTGTGGGGATAGCATAGCTACTCTCAAAATCCTAATGGAGAGACTGGGGAGATGGCTCAGTGGAATAAGCGCTTCCCTGGCAAGTGCAAGGTTCTGAGTTTAATCCCCAGTTCCACCAAAAAAAAAAAAAAAAAAAAAAAACAAAACCTAATGGATCCCAGCTTAACTCCCCTCCCCCCAGTCACATATGCATACATACATTTATATGTAACCTGCCAAGTGCTCCATTGTGGGACAATTATAAGGAAGAGTAAATCTCCATCTCAATAGCAGGGTACCTTGTTGTGGTGAGATGCCCTTACTGG